AGTTGGATTCCTCGCTCCGTGGGCTGTTCTCGTGGTAGTGTTTAGCAGTGCTCCCCTTTATCAAAGGGTTGCCTATGAGCACGCTACTCCTTTCTGAATTCGGAGTTCTCCTCTCACGTGAGAGTTGAGTTCTCGGTTTTCCCAGAGCACCTGGAACCGGCAACATCAGGCGAACTAGGCCCTTCCTCTGCCTCACTGGTGTGCTAAGTTTTTGGCTAAGCTTGCAGTACGCTTACTCTTCTGATTTCTAACGAACATGCCCTCTCGACTGAGAGCTGGGTGTGTTGCTCCCTCAGCTAGGTAACATACTGCTAGCCATTCCAGCATTTTACCATAGATTGAGCTGATGGCTTCTCGAACATTTTATTCTGGTGATGTACCATTTCCATCTATGGGCTGCTCTTTCAGAGTGCCACGAGAGCCCCTTAGGACGGTATCTTTAAAATCCATGTTATGGTAAAGTGACGTCATGGGCTGTCTCCGGCCAGCATGTTGTTGGTGTTTTTTGAATGTATGCTTCAGACACGGGTCACGACGAGGTGTTCCCCATAGCAACCCCTAGAGGACGCAGTGTCTCGTTCCCTACTCAGAGAACCATGGTTACATAAGTAACCTGAGATGGTTTAGATCAACAATACATGGATTTTTTTCAGGCATGTGTATATACACAGACGCAGGGCCATCCTTAGAGGGTTGCAACTGGTGCGGCCGCACTGGGCCCTGCGGCGAACGGACTGAGCGGAGCGGATCGCATCGCATCAAATCAAGAGATTGATGCTTGCTTATAGAACAGCCACAGATTCAGCACCCTCCAACTTCCACTCACTCTTACAAATCTACATCCCCTCCAGAAGCCTCCTCGTGGTACCATCACAGACAGGCACAAAATCACTTTCCAGAACATTTTCGTTCATCATTCCTGGCTGCTGGAATGATCTTCCCACACCCATCTGGAATGCTGAATCCCTTACAATTTTCAAGCGACAGCTCATCTCTTTCATCAACATTTGACTGCATCATAAAATAAAATAAAAAAAGCTTTGCTTTCTCTTTCCTTAATCCCTCCCTGTCTAGCTTGTACTAATCTGAACAATGTCTGAAACTTTGTATTACGAGCACTTCCTGTGTTTATTTGCCGCTTTATGATGAATCGCTTGTTGTATTCCTCAATTATAAGTCTCGATGGATAAAAGCGTCTGCTAAATGAATAAATGTAAATGTTAATGTGTGAGGGGAGCAAGATGGTTGCGTCCTGTCACTAAACGCCCAATCCCGTCCTGGGACTTAACGGTGGTTCTGGATGTGCTCTCGCAGCCTCCTTTTGAACCAATAGAGTGTATTGGTTTTGCAGCGTCTTTCTTTAAAGACTGCTTTGTTGTTAGCTGGCTGGTACATTCTGGCTGGGAGGGGCGCAGCCAGCAGTTTGCCGCAACACTCACTACAGCAAAGCGGGTGAGTAAATTAAACGCTTTGTCAGTACATCCTTCCTCGTGCAGTTTTCATCAGATGGATCGAAAGTTATACTAAGAGCTAAACCGGCATTTGTTCCTAAGGTCAGGGACAATACAGGAGCAAACAGATCTGTTGTACTGTTCTTTCCACCACCTTTTTCTTCACGAGAGGAAGAGCGGTTACACTGTTTATGCACGGTGCACCCTCTGCATTTTTACATGCAGAAGACGAGACTGTTACAAGTAATCAGCTCTTCGTCTCTTGGCCTGACAATTATAGGGGGACCCCTATTTCATGTCAGCGGCTTTCTCACTGGTGGTGGATGCAACTGTAATGTGTTACAAGGATGCAAATTTACAACCTCCATGGGCTTCGTGCTTACTCCACTAGAGGAATGACTACTTTCTGGTCACTGTTCAGGGGAGTTTCGATTCAGGACATTTGTGCTGCGTAGAGTTAGATGTGACAGTCATCTCTGGCTCCTTCAGTGTTAGGAGTGGGACCAGTGCCTGATATGTAATAACACTTCATTCAGGTCATTCACAAACATTTTTATAATTCAGTAAAAAGTAAACAGCTTTGTGCTTGTGTTCACTGTATTATATTATTAAGTACACAGTAAGTGTTTGTTGTGTCTGTACATACAGCATATCTGCAATACAGGAGTGGTCTATAGTGAGATACTGAATGGATGTTAGAAAGATAACGTTAGGTTACTTGCGTAACCCCTGTTCTCTGATAACAGAAGTGAGGCATCTCACCTCACTGGCCTTCCAGCAGACTGCACGGTGAAGAAGAAATGCGGAGAATGATGCAACAGCGGGCTGCAGTGGGTTATTTACCAGCGAGCTGGGACTCCCTGATCGCTGCAGCGATTGGTCTGTCAGTCTGACAGACGTGGTGTATTTGGTGATTATGCAGTTGGTCACGCCTGAGGTGTTCCTATAGTGAGATACCTCACTTCTGTTATCAGAGAACCAGGGTTACGCAAAATAACCTAATGTTTTGTTTTTAGATTTGTAATTTTAGGGCTTTTCACACTGCACTTAACCCTGGGTTACCGTAGTTAACACCGCTTTTAACCCTGGGTAAAGGAATGTTTCATACATGTCATTTACACTCTGGAGCAGGGTTAGCACTGCTTTTTGCATTGCAGTAAAATAATTTTACTCTGTGCTCTATATCTGCTCGTTGTCATTAAATTTACTGCATTTCCTAGCCAGACTTCTGCTCATATTTATTTATTATAGTGCTGTATAATTTCTACAGTTTAATTTAAAATACCTTACTATAATCATATCTGTTACAAAAAAAAAAATTCATACTTGAGGTTAAACCTTGTGTCTTCACTCTTAAAATTAACTGGATGATGCAAAGATTCGTTACTCTTCATAGACACACAGCTGGGCTCTGGTTCTGATTTCTTCTGGTGAACTGAACTATAACAGAGAGAGATTAAAGGAACACTAAGTACTTTCATGAACATGTCTCTCTGTGTGAGCAAATGTTACAATATCAGATGAAATAATGAAATAATCACATGATAAACACCATAACAAATATTTCAATTATGTCTGTTAATTAAATATTGTACCTGAAATGTTGTGGATGATCTATAGACTCGTCACTCTTCATAAACACACAGCTGGGCTCTGGTTCTGATCTCTTCTGATGAACTGAACTATAACAAAGAATACTTTGAATTACTGTATTAATATTAACTTTACATTTTTACTATGTTGATACAGAAACCATAAACTAAAGTTCTTTCATAGACTCTCTGCCATAATAACTAATATGAATACAAAAATGTGTTGTGTTTTTTTGTGAATATTTAGATCTGGTGACTTTGTTCATACATTATTTGTTTCGCTCATTTAAAATCATTATGGTCTCCTGTTGTGGGAAAATACTCACATTCATTTAAAAGTTGATGTATTTCACATATTTACAATATTTATTGGGGACTTACATGTTTAACAATTTGTTGTTAAGCATTATCTTATTATGTTTATGTTGAAATGTTATGAATTAAATTTTTACATTTCTATAATCTGCCTGTAAATGTTTGTATCTCAGGGGATACGTCGCACTTTTAGGGGTATAAATCAAGCTATTTTTTTTTACAAATAGACTCTGTGGTCTATAGACTTTCAGAAAATGTGTTCAATACTTCAAACTCTTAAATGATAATTTATTGTCAATCATTTAATAATTTATCATTTAGTTTGCAATACTGAATTTAGTTTTAGGTCAACAATACATTGATTTTTTCAGGCATGTGTATATAGACAGACGTATACATTTGTATCTATGAAATAAGATACCCAACAAAAACATATGTGCAAACTTTAAAAATTTACAAAATAAGTAGTTTGTTTTTGTTTAGTATTGTATCTCATACATCAGGTTATTATGGCTCATATATGCAATTCATTGCAATTCATTGATTATTGAGAGATACACAAATAAACCTTCCACAAAAGCCTGTTGTGTCATATTCGACATTTACTTTTTAACATGAAAAAAAATTACAAATGAATCTTTAACATAAAATTATAAATGCATAATCAAGAAAACCCAAGCAGGTTCAGCTCAGTACATGTTTATCTTTAATTATTACTAACTATATAAAAGTTATTCTTTACATTATATATATCATGAAAGATTTCACAGCAAAACTACGTACCTTGATAAAAAAGCATGAACTATCAATCAGAGAGCAGAAGGCATGTAGATTGCCTACAACAGGTTTATCAGCAAAGCTTTGATCATGTTAATAATTCACTAGACGTTTGTGTATCAAATATGATTCAGTAGGCTAATATATTCATAAATAGACATTATAATTTTTGTTTAAAACAATATTAAAACAAATGTTTACTGTAAGTTATGAGAGAATAAAATATTTTAAGAATGTAGCTAAAATGTTAACACACATTGCCAAACAATCTTTCTGTTTTCAACCAGTTTATTCCCGCAAAGGGGCGACGGGGATACAAACATTAAAATGTTTAGAAAAAATAAATGTCATGTTTTAAAAAAAAAAATACAAATAAATAAATAGCAATAAATAATTTTCTGATGTGTCTTTATAGTCCTGCTCTTTTTAGGGTTAATATAGTGTGTTTTCAAAGTACCTGCATCCTGGAGAAAGCTCTTGATCTCGGGGTGTTCGTGTGTCTTCCATGATGCAGCTGAACAGACAGAAGAGTGAGATCTCCAACACTTACTCTGGGTGGAAATGACAAACTAATCATTCAGCTGAACGGATCCTGAGAGTCGGAGAAACAGCAGAACGACGGTGGCGTTCACTCAAACACACAATGTTAGTCTTATGCGAACACAGATGCTGAAATGAACCACAGGCAACACGAAACAGCAACGAAACCACTTCATCTGCTTAAAAATAAGAGTATCAAACTCATATCAAAGAACACACTTCCTTCCGGAGGAATATGAAAGCGGAAGTCACCTGCAGCGTCGACTCACCTGCGCTTCCTCTGCCAGTGACGTCACACGCATTCTCCACGCCACATTAAAATAACACAGGATTTTCTACATTTATCAACTAAATGTTTTTATATATATATATATATATATATATATATATAAAACCAGACACCAAACCAGATATTTAAATGTTTCACTCGTTCTAAGACTTTATAATATAATATTAATTCATGATGTTCTGGGATTTTCCTTTTACGAGTAAATAGCATACATTATTATTTAGAAGTCGCGTTTGGTCTTGTACTGTGTCGCGTGCCTTGTCAGTGTCGTGCGCTTTGCTTGGCCATTTGTTGTGATAAACAGGAAAGTGTGTCCAGCTGAATTCAATTTGAGTTTTGTTAAACGAATAAAACAGAAGCTTCGTTTACCGCGGCTGCGGTCGTGTGCAGACCGAAGAGTGTAAAGACCGTGCGACTCCACCGGGCAGGACAGCGGCAAAGGATAAGTTTCGCTTTTTATCTCTCCTCTTTCCTACTACTTGTTTCACTTCTGTTCCAGTTTTTTATAACCATTTCTTACTATGTGTCAGTAAGTTGTTGTTATTTTAGCATGTGTGTTTGGCTCAGTGTTATTTTTTTAGGATTACTGATAAACTAATGTAGTTTGATTTGTATTAGTTATCTATTTTAGTTTTAGTTACAGTTGTAGTAATGTTGTCATTTTATTAGTTTTTTATTATGTCTATATAGGTTTTTTATTAAGTTTTAGTTTTATTTAATTTGAGTTATTTCAGTACTTCAACATACAAAATGGAAATGAAATAATATATATATACTGAATGTATTTATATATATATATATATATATGTACATGTATATGT